AGCCTGTAACAATTGTGATGTTTTTGTTTTACCAGTAAAATAATGGACAAAATTGGACATGAAGTGTTAAAGTTGAAAAGGTTTTAATCGTCTTGTCTCAAAATCAAAATCTAACTTATTAAAAAAAAATTAAAAATAATAAAAAAATAAAAAAAACCCTTAAAAAAATTTGTTGATGAAATGGTTTATTAGTTGGAGATATGTCAAATGTCCTATTAAAACCAATTAATCTGCAACTAAATTTTCTTAATCTAAAACCACATTTAATTTCCTTCTCAAAATTTAAATCTAGATTAAATTGAGTCGAACTTATGTAATAGATTTTTCAGATTGTACATGAATAAACGGATCTTAGTTCGTTTTCATAATATGTTTAGTTAGGACAATAAGAAAATATTAATTAAGGAGATACAAGTCAAGTATGTTGTTCACATGACTCAACAATATATTATATGATGAGAACGTACTTGTATTTAGAATCATTTTAGTAACAATTGAAAATTGTTTTTACTCGGGATCGTAATCATTGATCGATTGGAGCAATGTACTAATAATATTTTCTATAAGTTTATTTATTTAATAGGGTACGGTTGTTCCAAAAATGTACTAATAATATTTTTGTAAAAATATTAAAGTCACTAAGTGTCATTGTTTTAGTAAGAAATTATGAATATAATATACTATAATAATCACAAACATTTAAATTGGAACAGTAATAGAGGTCAATCATATCCCAAACATTGGCATAATTTTTCTGATCCCACAAATCAAAATCCTCTAATTTCTATCAACAAATAGTCATCCAATGTACTTTAAGAGTTTTATGCTGATATACAAACACAAATAACCAAGTACACTACCATATAATAAGCACCAAAATATAATATATATTTTATGAAGAAAAATATGAATACATATCTTGTTGATTTTGTTTATATGATAATATGATATGACTCTTATATCGTAAACATATAAATATTGATTAAGGAAAATAACCTAACCATTGAATTCTATATGATCATGCCAAAAGAATTAAGAGTTGCTAATCTATACCGATTACAATTATGTAGCAGGTTTTAAAGAGAATGTTCAAGATACAATCACCGATGTTATGTAAATTTTGTAACTCTAATACCCCCGTAGTTGATTCTATGAAAGAGATAAGAATGAAAGGAATATTAAAAGATTAAAATTTTGTTTCGGCACATGGTACAACCAATTTATAATTAATGAAATTAAAATTGTCAATTCCTAACAAAGACTTAATTGATAAAACAAATTTGATGCTCTTTATTGGGTGCACATATTCTATTCAATAAGGCTGGATACTATTCAAAGTATACCTAAATAAAGGGTAAAAAAAAAACTAAACATTCTAAAATAACAAAATAGAAGTATATAAGTTACAAACTTACAACAGAGTTGGTGTTGCAAATTTACATAAAGACAACTTCACTACAAGGCAAATGTTATTTGATTCGCCATGGCTGAGTATATTATTACTACTCGATACAATGAAAACTAACATTAGGTACTTCCAAAATACGAAGTATATAAGAGCTGTTATTACAATATTTAATTTTCTCATTTTTTTTTCCTAACCTTTATAGGAATTCCAAAAAAAAAAAAAAAAAAAAAAAATAAAGAGAGAGAAAAGAAATATAATTGAAGGTTAATACATAGTAATCAACCCTATAATCCAATATATAGATTTGCCTATGTTATCATAATCCCACACTTATTATGTTTGCACAAAGTTTGATCATTAATATTTAAGCATATATGCAATATAAGGTAGGTGCTCCATTCACTTGAATTTTACTTATATTATTAGCTTATTGCATGACATAGTGCACTAATAATCATTTGCGTTGATCCACCAACAGCCTAAGTGGCTAAGCATATGTCTAAAAAATTCTCTGGTCTCTCTCTTCAAACCTCGCCATCATAGTTAAATCTAGGTGCTGCCTTTGATAAATTTATTGATGGCAAGCTCCAACAAATCGTTCTTTAATTTAAGTCCTTTAAAATTTAAAATTAGTCAATAAAGATCACCAATTATGGTGATAATTACAACTAATCCCTCAGCTCCATATAGAACTTAGTCATCAATTCCCTCATGATGAGAATTTTAGTTTTGTCTATTTAATTTGTTTATTTTTTATGTCTAAGGGTACAAATTTGGAAGCTTTATGTTGCGAAATTGTGTGTTTGTAGGTATAGCGTTGCATATTTGAAAGACTATCGTCTTGCAAATTTGTCGATCATGAGAACCAATTAAGTTATATCACTTTTGCTACCGGCCATATATCAACAAAGCTCCATCAAGAAAAATGCAAAGACGACATTTAGCTTAGAACTATTCAAAAGCAGTTCAAAAGTGATTCCATGCCATTAGTTTATAAGTGTTTAATACTTGTCTTAAGAATTTAGATATAGTAAAAGATGTTTGTAAATGTCAATTGACTCTTATTAAATTATTTAATGAAATCACCCCTCACTAGCTATTTTTCATAAAAATTAGAAAAAGACCTATGTATATATATATGTGGGATCTTGTTAGATTTTTCATATTATATATCTTATGAAAATAGAGATATAGCTTAGACATTTTAAGAAACTTCTTGGAAAGTGTGAAAAGTCAAATGAAAACTATACTTAGGGATGCAGGGAGTAATATCCGATCTTATTTTGTTGGAACAAAAACTTAAAATAAGTGAAAAACATAAGGTGAGGAGAACAGAGCCTTAAGACATGTTTTACTTATTTTTTTCTTAATTTTTTTCTATTCATGCACTATACAATCTTTGTTACTGGTAAGTTTTTTTGTAATGAAAAACATAATCAATGTTTGAATTTACTAGGGTTTGTCTTGATTTAAAGTTTTCAAATATAATTTTTTATTTTACTAAGAAATAAGAAACATTTTTACCACATGAGATTAGTCAACACCTTGTCTTTATTAGTTATTAAACCTATAAAAATTCTATATTATTTAGAAAATTAAAATAATTAATTTTAATAACTTTGTGTAATACTTGAATTTATCATAGTGGCAAAGTGTTAATGGCGGGAAGGATGGAGACTGCAAACTTGGGAGGAGACAAAATTTAAGAAGACAAGTCAACTACGGTGTTCACGAGATTCAACAATTATTTTATACGAATTGAAATACTGTATGATATAATTTTTAATGAGTTTTAAACAGTATGATATTTTGTTTTTACTGAGAAAACTAATACAAACTAAATATCTAACCTATAAAAATACATTATCATCACGCCTAAGTTCAACCAACTAGGACTTCTATTAATTGAGACAATAATCAATTTCGTCTAACAATAATACACTCCAATTATCATACTCTTACAAGGGTTAATCAGAGTCCTTAAATCTAATTTTTATTTATCTACGATGTGTAATAGAAATCAGTAACTACCGCGTTGTATTTGGAAATATATGGAGTAACGTATTTGTTATGTTTGATGTTATGTTTTCCTAAACATAATATATATCATTTTATTTATGAATAATATTTTTAAAGTGATTGATGCATAGATATAATTTACGTAGACGGATCTAGGGGGTGGCTAGCCCAGGCCGTGACCCGCCCCATGATCCAAAAATAGAATAAGTCATTTTAGCTGTATTTAGTTATGTAACCAATTCCTTAGCTAAGTTGGTTCCATCATTGTCATTTAAATAAGAAGGTTTCAAGATCGATACCTGTTAGCCCCCAATATTGGTTTAATTTTTTTACCCTAATGTTTTTGTATTGCTGTTTTTACTTTGTTTACCTTTTTTTTTTTCTATTTTTTTTCCCTTTCCTATTGTCTGTTTTTTTAGCTTAAGGAGTATAAACTTGTACTCAATAATCTTTCTTCTTATTCTTTGTTGTCATAATTTAAAGTTAGTTAATTTATAATAAGCATAAATATCCGTCCCGGTGGATATAAAATTCCTAAATCTGTCCTTGGTTGTATATTATTAAAAGTGTTCAAACTACGAAAATGTCATTTAAAGATATCAGATTAGAGTTTAGGTGAAATGAATATGCATGTATCCTTATATGAAACAAGGTCAATGGCCTAAAAAAATTAAATTAAAAACAGATATCTAACTAAGTACACCCTATGATTTAAATACAACTCCTATGCTTTCACAATTAAATCATTTTAAAATACCACCACAAATTAAATTGATACGCCCATCTAGGATGGCAAGGGATAATATAACATGTACAGTAAGTCAAAGTTCCTATATACCCCGTCCTTTTAATTTTGCCCGAAATTCTTACTTGCATAGTCCATCTTATCTAAACTTATCTAAATTATTATCTGTTACATTAATATATTTATCCTGAAAATAAGTGAAAAAAGGTAAACTAAGGTAGTCTTTTTATTTTCACCTTATTCAAATATTATTCGATAAAACTAATTTTCACTTCATTAAAAACATAAGTCATGTTCAACACGTAAAAATAAGCTTCAATTAGTAAAATTGAGTAATTTTAAAGAGCAAATATCATAGAAAATTATTAAAAATAATTAATTTTATTAAAAATAATTTCAATTTCTCAAAAATAGGTAATACTAATATGACCTAAACATGATGACTTACCTCATCTTTAAATACACCATTGGGACAATTTGAAAGGAATTCACGGTGAAATTATAGTTTGATGATCAAATATGACTAAAATATATATGAGGGTATTTTTGGGAGAAGAAAAATAATGTGCATGGACAGCATAGTTTACACATCTCCCTAGGATTGCATCATGCAAGTAATTTACTTAATTATCTAAACATTATTTATTAAATAATACACACGGCAACTAAACCTACTTGAGATTGGTTTATTTGTTATTATAATTTCCTTGGGTGGAACAAACCGGCCAATTTAATTCATTTCTTCTATATTCACAATTTCCTTTATTTTATAATTAAAATTATGAGTTTTTTTTTTTTTTTTTTTTGAAGGGAAATTATGAGTTAGTTAATCATTTTGTTATTTAATTTTATTTTATTATACAAATTGCCTATATATATATGCACAGTATTCATACATACTATCCACATTCATATATCTTCAAACAAATTTAGAAATCTCCTACTTGTTATATATCTCTAGCTCTTTCCTCCAAGTAATGTTGTCATAAGATTGATCTTCTAATCCAAAATTATAACATATATTTTTGAAGTTCGACGTCTTCATCGTACGACCTTGTCACTCGACAATCGTGGGATCAACAATTCAACATTATTGGTAAGTAGTCCGAATTTAATTACTTGTATTTCGACATCATTAATTAATTTCGTACCTCTTCAAATTTCATCAACATTTTTGGTCCTAAATGTAAAGTCAAGTTGTATCTTATAGATCAACAATTAGTCAAAAAAAGGCTCTGCAAAATTCCACATTTTATCAACAGTACACTAGACTTCGTTGACTCAACGTATTGACCACTTTACCATGCAAGAATCTTATTATAAATTTCGTATAGTTGCATCTTGCATAATTAGACTTTGATCAAGCAAAGTTTCTTGAAAATTTTCATTAGAAATCTAATATTTATAAAAACTTCTAACAAAGTTTGAAAATCAATACAAAAAAAAATAGTATATCGAAGATATATTATTATTAACATTTTATTTTTGACTTCAGAAAATGGCGGATAAAGTAAGTGTAACGTACACAGTCGATGAAGCACTTGTTACGATGGGGTTTGGAAAGTTGCAGTTTTTGGTGTTAGCATACGCCGGAATGGCGTGGGTTTCGGAAGCTATGGAGATGATGATTCTATCGTTCGTCGGACCGGCCGTTAAATATGAATGGGAGCTTAGCGCTGCTCAAGAAAGTCTTATTACAACCATAGTTTTTGCAGGCATGTTCGTTGGTGCTTACTCTTTTGGTCTTATTTCCGATAAATATGGAAGAAGGTAAATATCATTCAGACAAATTATATCTTTTTGTAGAAACTCTTTACTCATTATTTTGTGTTATATTATTGTGTGAAAAAAGATAGAAATACTCTTTTTCTGTTTGTCTCCATTGTCATTTTACTTGTATTTTAATGCATATTTTTAAACATTAATATTGTTAGCCTATTTTTTTAAAAAAAAAATGATATGGAGTATTTTAAAACTAAGACGAATAAGTTTCCGCTTGTATATTTTCTTTAAGGGTTATGTATAGGGAACTCTTAGGGGTAAGAATAAGTATTTGATATCTATTCTAATTTGATACAGAGTATTAATTTTAGAAATGCATCAGCAAATTACGCACAAATTAGTGTAATTTATGTTAAACTTCGTATCATCATTTATTTTTTTTTTCTCCATTTTTAGCTCCTTATAGGTAGCCTTAAGGGCTTGCTATCTATAGCATTTTCCTTTTTTTTTTTTTAGTTGTAATTAACAAATAAAATTTGTTCTTAAAATAATATCTTCTCAAATTAAAATTTCAAATACGACAAAAAAACTACGTAAATTATTATTACTATTATTAAATCCAGTTTAATTGGGTGGATAAGTTGACCATTTTATGAACTTCTGTTCTCCAGTTTAACAAGGTCTAACAACTTGCTGTTTGTTTTTGAATTTCTTCTGTCTTGATCTGCTGTTTTAACTAACTCCTGTATGGGCTGTATCATGTGTATTCAACTGCACGAATAATTTTACAATTAGCCTTTAACATACACAAGTAACTTATTTTGTAAGCGAGTTACTCCAACTTTAAATTTGTTATTTTACGTGTAGAAATAGTTGCACGATAGGTAGTGATGTAAAAAGAATCCGATCTATTGTCTAAAAATCACTCCAAGACAATAACGAACTAATCTAATAGAATTTTACTCGACGTGACATTGTCATATGGATCGGAACATGTATACATCAAAATACCTAAAATGTCAAGATACCCCTGATATTCATAATCTTTAAGTCAGATTTCATAAGATTCTTTTCATGCTTTGGTTGAATAATACTAACATAGCATACGGCATAATTCTTGGATCATTTCAGGTGTGTTTATCAGTTTATGTTACGTTTTGGACATAATTAACTATTTCTGCTTCATGAATACACAATAATATGTTACTCAATTTTTTGCAACTCTGTATATTTCAGGAAAGGTTTTGTGTTTTCGGCAGTAGTAACATGTGCAGCTGGTCTACTGAGTGCAGCTTCACCAAACTTCGTGGTGTTGCTCGTTGCTCGTTGTTTGGTAGGCGTCGGATTAGGAGCTAGTCCTGTTTTACTGACTTGGTTTCTAGAGTTTGTACCTGCACCTAGCAGGGGTACTTGGATGGTCCTTTTCCAAGCCTTTTGGACCATCGGTTCCATCACCGAGGCTGCCTTGGCATGGGTATGTTGGTGGCCCTCTATGATCAATTTTCGGGTTCAGATAATAGATCACATTTGACTTTATGAATTATAGTATGAAAATGAGAAAATCACATTCTTAATAACATCTAAATAAAGACAAACAACAGGAAACATGAACTATTAATTAATTTTTATTACAATCACAAGATATATCATTTATAAAATTTACTCTCCAAACTTTAAAATTTCCAATTAACCTAAAGTTTATATTATCAACAGTTATGTCATGATCAAAATTTTAATCACATATAACATGCTAGTAATAAGAGTAAATATTAATTACTTGTTGATTCTAATATGGTGCTAATTTTTTGACAGATTATAATGCCGAAATTGGGATGGAGATGGCTGTTGGGTCTATCTGTTCTGCCTTCATTCATCCTGCTGGTATTCTATTTCATTACCCCTGAGTCGCCGAGATACTTATGTTTGAAAGGACGAAAAAAAGAGGCAGTTCAAGTTTTGGAGAAAATAGCTAGAATAAATGGCAAGGAATTGCCTCCTGGTGTACTTGTTACTGATATGGAGCAAGAAGAAATAAACTGTCCTACAAAAGCTGTTACAGGGGAAGAAGGTGCAGCACCTGCGAAATATGAGGATTCTGATATGTCTGTCGTTCGATCTTTTAAAGTACTTCTTTCAAAGAAACTAGCTCCCACAACTTTGCTCCTGTGGGTAGTTTTCTTTGGTAATGCATTCGCGTACTATGGCATCGTGTTGCTAACAACTGAGTTGAACACTAAGGACAATACATGTGATTCTCATGTTGTTCATAAAAAAGAAAACAGTAAGCCTGATATTGATTACAGAGCTGTGTTCATCACTAGTTTTGCTGGTAAGTTTGTCTACTTTTGATTGATAAAGACGGTTTTATTGACTAATTAACATGTACTTGTACATTTTTTTCTTGGTACTGACATTTTTATCTATAACTCTTTGTAGAACTCCCTGGACTTATTATTGCTGGCATCCTGATTGATCGAATTGGTCGTAAGTATTCCATGGCAATCATGTTTGTTGCTGGTGCAATATTCCTGTTTCCTCTGGTTGATCATCGATCAAACGCTATCACAACAGTTCTGATGTTTGGGGCTCGAGCCTCTATCATGGGGAGTTTCACCATTGCTTTCATCTTCGCTCCAGAGGTAAATTACTTTTGATTAAGACACATTCTTTTTTACCTGCTACATATTAATTTTCTTATAGTAGTAACATTTGTTTTATGAATATGTATGATGCAGATATACCCAACATCAGTGAGGAATACGGGTTTTGGAATGGCGAGTTCTATGGCAAGAGTAGGCGCAATGGTGAGCCCTTATGTGGCTGTAGCTTTAATACAAGGATGTCATAGAATGGCATCAATCTTGTTTTTCGCAGGAGTAATATTAGCTGCTGCGATAGCTGTCGCGCTAATTCCATATGAAACAAAAGGGCGCGAGTTAACTGATAGCATTGATAGTAATAAGAATGACATACCCAAGGCCATAACACTTACACGAGAAGGAGCTCAACAAAAACCACCAAGTAGTTCCGTTAATGTATAAGCGTCTTCTAACATTGTTCGTTGAGATCCTACGAAGAATACGAAACAATTTTAAGAACATCTTACTCTGTTGTTTATGTATGTATGTATGTGTTTGGTAGTAAAAGATAGAGTTTGTATGTGTTTAACTATTGTTTTTGGCCTTTGAACAGAGGACCTATTAGTGTCAGTTAGTAATGAGCAAATTAGAGTAGCTAATAGTTAAGGCCAAAAATCTTAGAGAAAGTTGTGTAATGTTTCTGGTGTGCTAGGATTTCTCTTCATACAGGAGCTTGGGTGTTTGTATGTGTAAGTATTTTCAGAGTCAATGTCAAATTCGGATAAAGTGATATATCATAACTATTTTTGATTTATGAGATACTCCAAGTTGTATTTAATTTCTCTCTTTTTTTGGATACATGTCGATGTAAGTTTCAACAACTAATTTATTAAATTAAAGTTATAAGACTTTCAAAAAAAAAAAAAAAATTAAAGTTATAAGACTTTGATATATCAATCTAACAAGACCTGTTATTATATTTTGCTTAATCAAATCATCGAAGATTATTTATTTATTTATTTATTTTTACTTTAATCCAATCGAAATTTGACTCGATACTGGACTAGAAGGGGATGTAATGAAAAAATAATGAGGGGACCAAATGATTCTAAGGGGATTTATCTGTCTTCCTGGTCTTCGACACATGACAATGACTTTTAACATAATATTGTGTCAAGGGAGGTAAAGACGGAGGAAAACGTGACTTCCCTTTTTTTTATACTAAAGGAAAATTATAATGTTTCCATCTCAGAGTGTGTATTTTTACACCATTGGAAAAATTGTTTTCTACCCCTTCACAGGCTAAACAAAGAAAAATGACGAAAAAATGTAAAATTTAATTTCCATTAAAACACTTTACATCAAACTAAATGTTTCGGGGTTTTTTGTGAGATGTCCTGCGGGAGAGTTACTTCACCAAGACTGGTTCTTCTTCGCCTGTACCTGCAAGCAAATGGAAGCTCCGGGTGTTCGGAGTTCCGCCTCCGACGATCAAATTAGTAAATGTCGAAGTTGAGTAAAATGCGGAAAGTAAAGTGAATCTTCTCGGATCCCGAAATCAGGTGATTTCTCTGTTGTAAGAGAATAATAAATGATGTAATAAATAAACGTGTCTCCAAATTGGGGTAAATGTCCCTATTTATAGGGTCATTGAGAAATGTGTCCTTACGTATGTCATTCAGTCCTATATTGGTGGGCTGCGCCGTTTTACGGCGCTTTGGAAATTAGGCTTGTGAAGGCTGCCAATTTCCTTCATTATCCGCATGCCAGGTGTCATGTCCTGGTTGGCCCTGTTTGGACACTTCCTACGGTGACACGTGTCACACTCTTACTGGACCATGTGGCTTGGGTAAAAATACCCAAATCATTTGCCCCCTCATAGGGGTGACATGGCGTGCCACATGGCGCCTGTGACATTTGTCACACATGCATTGGTGACAGGTATTTTTACTATTCACCTTTTGGGGAAATTACAGGGATGTCCACAAAATTTTACCCCTCTATAAATAGTTTTTTACCACCCTCATTTTCGCATATTCACGAAAAATCTTTGGGAGAATCTTTGACTTTGAGAGAAAAAACCTCTGCTGCTTATACTTTGTTCGCCTGCATCGCAGCCGTCTCAAGCTTCAATAAGTTACAACAGTACCTTCATTTTAAAGGTAACCGTCTGTTTCTTCTCTCATTTTCACTTTTTATTTACCGCCTGTGTTTGTTTTCCTTTGTTTTCAACAATGATTTCACAAACACACACGACACGACCTAGGATAGCAATTAACCGGTCACCTAGGACGGCTGATGTATCTGTAACACATTTTTGATGTATCTCTACTTCTCACCAAATCCCAACCACACACACACACACACACACACATATATATATATATATATATATATATATATATATATATATATATATATATATATATATATATATATATAGATATTTTGTTACTAACACCTGGCTTGTTTTGTGCAGACGAAGCAATGGAGCACCTCTCTTCTAGCAAGAAGCCTGCCAACTCTACAACCACCTACCGCTTGATGAACAAGCGGAAGGCTGAGGAGTTCAAGAAAGACCAACTGGCTCATGTAAAGATCTTCAGTTTTCTTTTCGTATTTTGTAAAAAAGCGGCTCTTCTTTTTCCGCCTGCTTCTAACTTGCTTTGATTGATACTTTGTAGGAGGGACAGAACAGGCCACCAGTGCCCCCTCAACCAAGCCAAAAACTGCAAAAGCAGACGGTAGACGATTTAAGACGCTTGGCAAGTCAAGGAAGCATATGGCGCACAAGCCCCGTGCGTCTGCCCAGACGGGGAATGACTCTCATCCCTATACCAGAGGCAAGTCTCCCGCATGAAGAAGTTGGACGCCTACAAGGAGTTGAAGGGTGGCCAGCCATCCACCGCTGGTACCGGCTTAGCAGCAGTAGGCGGGAGCAAATCGCCTTTGGAGAAGGAGACGGCTGTTGCCCAAGGTATCTTAGCCTTTAATCCCTTGCCTTACACTGGTAGGGTTAAGTCATATCAGTAGTCGCCAAGCAGCTCTGAGGACACGCGATCTATTAGCCGGGCTTACCTCATCTACTTACAAGATGTTGATTGTGCAAATGTCAGCCAAAGTCTGTATATTCAGCAGTTCACAAAGAACATGCTTAAGGTCGTCTCCTCTGCCAAGAGGGAGTTAGTAAGAGGGGTCGGAACCCTCAACTTCGACGATATATGACAAGTTCCTAGGTTAATCAATCACTTACGTAATTGCCCCAAACCAAGTAGACAGCTGTCCAAGGAACAGATGGTATATGCTTGGATATCCAGACGGCCCAGGATATATCCTTGTCCATCGAATAAAGAACCACTCTTAGCCGTCTGGATCATTCATCCAAGTACATAACCAAATTCCCTTTTGGAGAATAGCGCGTGCAAACGTCTTTCTGACGCCTGTCTTATTATGCTTGCTATAAGCAAGTTACGCATGAGAAAGTCAGACGGTCTAATGAACCTTCTGAAAGATAGGTTAGTAAACCTATTATTTAAAAAAAGTTTATCTAGGGTTTTGCAGTGACCAACACCGCGCGGAAAAAAAACCGCCCAAAGATCCGTGCATAAATTAAAGCAACTAAACATTTGTGCAATTAATTAAACAATAAACACATAATAATAGAGAGAGAGAGAGAGAGAGAGAGAGAGAGAGGAAAACAAGATCATAACCTTGATGCGTGTTTTCCACTTAGCACGAGCACGAACTCACGAACGGAGAAAGAGCCTCAAATGCGACCCCTCCAACGTAGTCCACCCACGCGCCCAAACTTGGCTAATATTACCGGCTAGGGTAATATTAACACTACTAACAAGAGGGTCTCTTTATTAGGTTTTCTCAATGGAGATAACTTGTATAGAGTTCAACTCTTGCCATAATTTCCAAGGGAGGCCTTGAGTATTTATAGGAGAAGCATCTCCATTCCCTTGATTTCCAATCAATGTGGGACTTTGCAAAGTTAAGAAATAAATGCATTTAATTTAATTCTAAAATAAATTAAAATACAAATAACAAATAATCAAACAACAAGTGGCACAAACATGGGAGGGTTAGGTGAGGACCACAAGGGAGGACCACAAGGCCTTCCTTTCTCCCCAAGCAAAACTAGACCCTATACGCGCGTGCCAAGTGGCAGTCCTAGTGGCTTGCCTTGAACAACAAGGCTTGTCGTTGCTAGCAGCCTTGTGCTCTCGGCTGGGCCTGCTAACCTAGGCCCATCACAGTATGCCTCGCAAGCATGCGGGCTGCTACGCTGTAGGGCGCTGCTACTGCTATCGTAAGCCCGCACGCCCTTGCAAGCTTTTGGTGCTTGCTAGTCGCAGCGAGTGCTAGCAATGCCTAGCACGCCACGCACGTAGCTGTTTACCTTGCTAGCCTGTGCTGCCACAGCCCGCATTTGGCCAGCACGCCCAACTCGCCCATGCGCGTGGCTTGCTAGGCTTGCGGCTAGTGGTAGCGAGCATCATGCACTCGGCCAGCAGGCCTAGCTAGTGCCTGCGCGCATTAAGCTAGGCTTGCGGTCAGTGCTTGCTTGTGGCTGCTTGTGCTAGCCTAGCCCTCGCATGGCTAGGCCACTGTGAGGCTAGGGCTATGCACTTTAACTTTATTATTGTTGTTAGATTTATTTGTTTGTCTCGTTAATTCCTAGAATTTAACTCGACGTTCGATGTTCGGCTTCGACGCTCTAAGCTCGAAATCCGATGTCGGAGTATGTATCCTCTTGTTTGACGTATTAAGGCCTTCGGCTTAATTTGTAACACCCTAGAAATTCCTTTCCTTTAAAATACCTGTTTTGCCCTTTTTAAAATACGTAAAAGGAAAATCTAAGATATTACCGCCACCGTGAAAACGGCTAAGGCAATTATCAAAGACACACAGCGGAAGACTACCTTTAAAACTATTAAAAAATCAAGTCAACTTTAAAAGTCAAACCAAACGAAAGTAAAAGTCAAACAAAGTCAAACGAAGTCAACCTATAACTTGGAACCATTGTAGGCCCTTAAACCAAAACACTCAAAAATCCTTTTGCGTTAGTCTCACAATCAACATAAATAATAATAATAATTCAAAGCAAATAACACATCAAAACTAAGCATGATTCACTCTTCACTCATGCCCCATCATGATTATGCCTCATCACCTGAAAAGCTTCTCTCTACTTGTCCCCACTACTCACCATTAGAAATGGGTCGTCGTAGGGCCAAGGTAAAGACAAGGCTAAACAAACACATAATACACCCAATCAGCAAAGCTGAGTACATAAGCATAATTAGCACACACTAACATGCTTTCATCCTATCAACATCCAACTTACCTCGATGCACCTGTTTACAAGCACACAACATTCATCACTTGACTCGACTACTAATTAATATTTATTTAATTTTGATTACACATCGAACGGGTTTCCAACCAACTACCTGCCTCAAATAAATTGAGGTAAACTACACCGGGAGCTAACCCGGTAAGCAAATGCCACATGAAGTGACTGGATCCTGCGCATAATAAATAATAAAATGGAAAGTACAGCGTCCTGCACCCCCAGTAGAAGTTATGGTTAAATATAAAACCCCATAACTCCCCCCATATGTTCATACTCAAGGTATATACGTTCCAAGAGTTTTGGTATGTAATCTCTTTCACTTTACGTGATTTACAAATTATTAGACTTGGTGATGACTCTCAAACACAACACAACCAAGCATTACAATTCACTCAAGCAATCAAACAAACCAATTTAATTCTTGAATAATTAGTGACCACATAAATTTAGTGTGGAATCCTTTTTAAACTAACTCG